TGCTCCAGCACTCATGTCTTTTCCTCCAAGAATTGGTTTTTCTCAGTAAACAAAAGGTAAATCCCAATGCTGCTAAAGTCTGCTTAGCTCCAGAGATTCGAGCTGTACATTATCTGCCTTGTGTGATTCATGGATTTAGTAATTTGAAATAATTTGCCACCAATTTCTAATGCACAGCAGTCCAGTCTGCCAGGGTGGATCCCCTTGCAGCATAGATACTGTTGCTAAGGAGGAAACATTCTCAACCCCACCCTGGATTGAGATTTCTCTTTCTGCCTGACTCTATGCAACCTCAGAATACTTTAGGTAGCAATGTCTGCTGGGACTGTGTCTGCTGAATGTAATTCTTCTCTTAGAATTATTACCCGGTTGTAGGGGTCATAACATTCAGAACTTGTGCCTAGCTCTTTACTGGAACCTCAGCTGCCAGATAAAGAATGGCCTAACTTGCCTCCTTCATCCCGAGCTCCCTGTGGCCAGCAGTGAACAGTGAACAGTGCAGAGGGAAGCTGTGTCCCTGGAGAGCAGAGCTCCCTCCTCTCCTGCAGGGGCACAGGAAATTGTGTCCCATCAGTGCATAAATCCCTAGTCCCTGTCTCCACTTTTGTGTGGCTACAACCTGTATCACTGTGAAAGGTATTTTTATGTTCCCAGTCAGAGACTGAAAATGAAAATTATAATAGGCAGAAATCTCAGAAAAAAAAAACTCCCTCTAACAAACCACTAAAATAACATTTAAAAACTCATTGATTAATACTTTCAACAAGCATCTTCTGGAATCCTGACAGTGTCACCACTCATTATTATGCATTAAATCCCAGTGAGTGCTGCATTATGATATTTCTAAAGCTCAGTAACCATTGCTTTCTCTTGGCAGATTTGCAGCTTGATGCGAGGTGGAATAGCAGAGAGGGGAGGGGTGAGAGTGGGACACCGGATTATCGAGATCAACGGGCAGAGCGTCGTGGCTACGGCTCATGAGAAGATAGTCCAGGCATTGTCCAACTCAGTGGGAGAGGTAAGGGAACAAAGTCTTTATCAAGGAAGTAGAATAGTTGAAAAAATGTATGTTTCAGTTGAAAAGAGTGTCAACACAGCATTAAAGTCACCAATTCAGTAAATGGAGTTTGGCACTAATAAGAAACAAGAGACTTTTTTTTTTTTTTTTTTTTTTAACAACTAATGATGCACATTCACTACGTTTTTCCATTCATTTTTAAGAGTTCCTGGCATAATTCTATACCTTCAACCTACTGTCTGAATTAAATCAAATGATTAAAGGAAGAAATCACTCAGGGATGTTGGCTGTGAAGATGTCTCTTGGCTTATCACTACAGCATCTGCCATAGAAATGAATTACTATGTCTGAGAGATGCAAACTGATATACATTTTAATAATTTCATTTCCAACTTACCTTGGAAATAAGTTAACACCTCTCTACAGTACTTCTAGAGAGATCGGCAGTGAATAAGCAAGACTGTCCAGTTTTTCAAAATCCCTCCTGAGTTTAATGGTAGTCTAAATAGAGAACCCCGGCCAGATCTCCCACTAGTTCCTCTGACAAAAATTAGAGACAGCTGGTTTCCTTCTGGAAAATGGTACCTGACAAACCATAACAGAGTATGTGCACTTTGTCAGGAGCAAAGCTCCTGATTCCAACAGCCCCTCCATGGTCCTTCTTTGCTGTGTAACTTCTCACCTTACATAGCAATACAGCATGAAGCTTTTCTTCTTTACAGCGTGAAGAGAAGATACCAAGGCAGCTGGTGAGGGTCTGTGTTATCAGTTAGTAAAGTTTCCCTTCCTTCCTCTTGTGTTGTCCAACAAGTACTTAGAGCTGTAAGTCCAGTTCTGGTGGAGACCCTATTACCTGAGCCTTGGACTCTGCTGGTCTGTGAAATCCCTCTGGCACTGGGGACTGGAGTCCCAGGACTCCTTGAGGAAGGAATTGAAGTACATTAGCCATAGGAGAAACTGTTCCACCAAACTCTTGATTGGCATTTAAACATTAGGGGGCAAAGTCCAAGTCTTGTGTTCAGAGGATCATAGTGTAATTCAGTGAAAATATGAAATTACATTCCCACAGAGAGGAAGATAGAATACAAATCTAAGTTCCACTAATACCAGAACAGCAGAAGGAATTTTCAGAGAGGTTTGTGCTTCTTCTCATTTAAGGTCTGTAAATTTTACTGTAATTGGAGTAGGGTGTATCAACAAAAAGTGTTTAGGTGGCTTCTAAAACTACATGATGTCACATCATATAATTGTCATTAATAAATAATTAAAAAACAAAACAAAACTAAACAAAAACCCTCAAACCATATTAAAAAAAAAAAAAAAAAAAAAAAAAAAAAAAAAAAAAAAAAAAAAGCAAAGACAGCAAACCAGCATCCTAAAACCAGAGAACTGTGAACTAGAAACTCTAGGAAAAAATCTATAGAAGCCAGAACAAAAAATGCACTTTGACCACAGGGAGAGACAGATGGGACCCTCTGGATTATTTTAAACTCTATTAATGTCTGTGTAATCAATTGACAGATTCACATGAAGACTATGCCAGCTGCCATGTTCAGGCTCCTAACAGGTCAAGAGACCCCCCTGTACATCTAACATCTTCCGTCCAAGCTGAAGCTGTCATAACTGAAGAGAATTTTGTATTTTGTATGAATGAAAGGCTTGGAAGCTGACCTGAGGACTCCAGAACAAGGAACAGACAGGTGCCTCTGCCTTTTCTCTCCTTCCTTTCTATTTCTTTGACAAAAAGTGTTGAGGATGGTCAAGGACAATAATCACTGACAAAAATCTTTGTAAACATTTAAGTATTTTGAACATCTTCTAAACTCTTTTCTCATAGAACTTAAAACATATTTATTTGTAACCTTTATGTGGAGTGATGTATGTCTGTCTTGTTTGATAACACAGTGAATGTGAATATTTGATGAATGAGACTGCAGGAGATGGCAAAGAGAAGCAATTAGAGAAAGTTCTGACTGCCTCAAGTTAAAAAAAAAATCCCAGTCCCATAAAGTGGTCCAATACTGATGACTTTGCATAATTTTAAAACTGGTGCTGAATCTATGGTATTTCAGTGGAAAGGAATGTGTGCAGTTCAAACTTTTAGACTCTACTGTAAAGAAAACCACTGTAGTACTTGGTATTGTTATGACAAGTGTAACCTGTTTGGCAAGGTGTGAACATAAACATGTAACAAGTGTTTCATATGCTAAATAAAGAATAATTGCCACAAGATTAAAATCAAAATATTTATTTAGATACATATTTATTTTTAATGCTTGTGATTTTTATGATTTAACAGAGTTGTTTCATGGATAACTTATTGCACAGGTTGTGTAATGTATGTGTTGGGCTGGGGTTTTTTTTTCTTTAATTTTTGCATATTACCTTTTTGTTCATAATAGCTCAAAATGGGAAAGCCATGCTTACCTGTTTCTGTCTTTTATAAAGCATTCTTATTCCTAAGGCAATGTGTTCTGAATGTAAATTGTTTTGACAAATAACCTAGCACCATCAGCAGTATTAGAATGTGTGTAGATAAAAAACCTAGTAGTAAAGTTGTATTCCTTATGAGATAAATGTTAATTGGTGTAACTTTGTCTATTTTTTTTCTTTTGGCCAAGGCCTTGAAGAAAATACACTGTGACTTAAGAAGCCTTACCATGCAGTAACTAAAGAGCTTTAGATGACTGTACTTCAAGGAGTAGTGTGTTGCATGCAACTGACCTTAGGAAAGAATTAACCTATCACTAATAAATCTGAAATTAGAAAGGAAGCTTGCTTATTTTGTTTATTGTGTAACTTTACATAGTAAAAAATTCCAAGTAGAAGATTATTTAATTCTTCATCTAAGTGCAGTTGCAAAGGTCACAGATTTCTTTTTTTAAAGGAAATATTCTCTTGAATTAGGAATTTGTGTATCATTATGATCTTGAGAGCAGAAGCTTTCAATTAGCATACCTTGTTGCCACTGGATGTCACTGTAACTTCACATCAATACAGAAGCATGCTATAATTAAAATACATTAAAATGGATGAATCTGTAAAACTTAAACTACCCATCTTCAGCTACATTCCTTTGTGACCTTTTCACAGGATGTCTGCCCAGCTCAGAGTGACACAAATGAAACCAGTATATGATTAAACCTCAAATGGAAACTAAGGCTACTGACAAGCACTGCTGCAAAAAAAAAAAAAAAAAAAAAAATCCCGAAACATCAACCTGTGGTAGGTTCTTTATGAGAACCTTCTCTTTAAGGCCTTTCCAATTTCCTCTGAAAGAGCCAGGATGAAGCTTGCACTGGAAGATGTTGCTGGCAGACCTGTGTTTATGCTGGTAATGAAATCAGTGTCAATATTTACTTTTTGATATTTTTTTAAAGATCAATGTTAAATAAATCATAAACACAGCAGAACCACAATAACACGTTTTAGTAATAAAATTGTCAAAACTATGAATTGGAGTAACAATTCTTTTTGAAAACATTCAAGGCTCTGCTAGATAAAAATTTCTCTAACTTCCTATCAGTTGCTGTTGGTAAAAAGTTTGTGAAAGATGCTTTTTTGGAAATGCAGAATTTCAGTCTTCTTCCCTAATGCATCTTTTGGTCACACGCTGCAGAGGATTAAACATCAGTTCTTAGTCACTCACTCTACTGCAGGACTGAACTGCTGAACATTCAGAAGAGAGCAGGAATGAACCACACTGCAGCAAGTACTGCAGTTTAAAAGGGCAGCCCTGGGAGGGGGGAGCAGTTTTAATTGGACAGAGCAGTTAGTCTGGAATGAAAGACACTGGAAAAATTGATTAGAAGCAGCACTGTATGTGTGTATAAATCACCTTTATATCTGTATCCAAATCAGTTGCTGAAAAGGCAAAGTCCAGAAATAGTTTTTTATTAAAACACTGACGATAGTTAAAACACTTTGAGGTACATTAAATAAATACAACTTTTAAGTTGTACAGCCAGTCCCTGGCGGGTTTCCAATGGTTTTCAAGAAATGCTGGGCAGCATCAGTAGCATTTCTGTAAGTACAGTGAAATGAATGCATTTCTGTTGGGAAAACATTTGTTATGACTTCACTAACAAATCAATTAAAAGTTTGCAAAAATCAAGGCTGAAATTTACATTCAGAAAACCAGCTGTTCTCATCCTGCTGTGGGGGGGAAAAAAGTGGAATTCCAAAGGAAGACACTTTTTCCTTTCAAAGTCATCCGCTAGTTGCACTTCCGCCAGTCCTGGTTTCCTCCAGCTCTCCCTCTGCTGCCGTGCCATACGTGCGGCCCCGTCAGAGGATGGTTTCCCGGCAGACTCCGATCAGGCTGTGCGGCCGCTCCCGCGGGCCGGCGCGGCGGAGCGGGGCCCGGCGCGGGGAGCTCAGCGCGCCGCAGCTCCGCAGGTGCAGATCCTCCTGCGGCCGCTTCCTGCAGCCGCCCGCGCCCCGCTGGGAGCTCGTCATGACCTGCGGGAAAGGGCAGCAGCGCAGGAGGGAAGAACGGGGAAAACGGGGTAAGAGAAGTTCTCTTTTAAAAGGTTCACTCTGTGAATAATGTTTCATTTAAGGGGTCTAACACTGAAACTCTTCCAAGGGGGTTCGGCCCTCCAGAATCCCTCCTGCTTCTGTCCTTGCAGCTGGTCAGGGCTCAGGACTGGGCACCTGGAGAGCACAGCCAAGCTTTCTGTCTGAACTGCAGTGTAAAATGTAGTGCTGCCAATAAATACAAATTATTTCTTACTAATGCCATGTCACTATAAAAGAGCTTCTGTTAGAATTGTCTGAAGAACTTAAACTGTAAAAACATTTAAACAAGGTATTTGTCTATAAAAACTGGACACATCTTTAGAAGATCAGTAGCCTACCTGGTCTATGATATTGGCACTGAAGATGGCTTCTTCCATGTGTCTCTCATCAGATTTAATGACTGACCGTATGCTGTTCACTACGTGACGCACTTCTGGAGGGAGATTACAGTTTGAATGTTCCAAAAATTTTGCCACTAAAATTTTTGTGTCTTTATAGGCCTTAAGGTCCACTAAGGAGTGTGGCCGCTCTTTTGAGACTGTGTGAAAAGCCTTTGGCTTTAGATGCAGATCAATTTTCCTTGTATCCCTCTGTTTTCCAGTTGGTAGAAAACTGCTCAAAGAATGCTGGCAAGCAGAGGCAGCCATATGAGAACCAGAGACAGGAACTAAAAAAGGGGGGGAAGAATATCTTTAAAGTAATAGTTTAAAAAAAGAAAAAGAGAAAAGAAAAAAAAAAAGGCAAAACAAATACTGTCACAAAGTTTCTACTTTGTCATAAAATGTCTGTTTTGTTTGAAGAGTAGCAAAAACATGCAGTCAAGTAAATGCTACAAAATGGGTAACTTTAACCAGGAGTAACTAGGAGTAACCAGGAGTAAGATCTTCCCATGGCCAAGGAGAACTGCCATGAGAATGAGCGGGTGGGTGATTAAAGCACTTCACAAACCAGACATTTTTGTTACCCCCACCTTCAAGGACTTCAGTTGACATTAATGGTAAGGAAACCCACCAGCTACTCTGTGTTACATGTAACTTGTAAAGTTTTAGGCCCAGCCCCTCACCCCAACTTTAAAGTTATTTCTATTTCTAGGCCTCAGAAATTATATGCAAGAGAGATTAGTGAGAAACACAGAGAAAGCAAAAATGCTGATCTAAACCAGAGGACCTAATTCACAGCATTTATTTTCATTCAAGGCAGGTTCCATCAGCATTGTACACCATACATGTAATGCTGTTAACTGGCTGTTCTGCCCCAGAATTTTTAAGGCTCATTTCTCTCTCAGAAGCTTTTCATTATTTTTAAAAGAAAATAAGGAAAACCATCTTCTGCTTTAGAAAACCAATTCTCACCTGTTTCTCCTGTAGCTGGAGATAATCCTGCATCTTGGCACTGCCTGCACACAGAAGTCCAGGCACAATTATCACCTTCAACCAAAGGCAGACAGAAAGAGCAAAGTCAACCCCTGCTGTCCTCTGCCCAAAGCAAGGAAAAATACACTGGAACCTTTTATTATCTCCTTTACAGAATGGAACTACTCAGAAGAAATACTGCTTTCAAGATGTCCATTCATAAAGAGAAGCTACTACAGCCAGAAATGCCTTATGAGTTGTTACACAAACAGGAAGACAGAGCTCATGCTTTATGGTTTCCTCTGTAATCCTAAATATTTCAGACCTAAGTGCTGAAACTATGGCAAGCTCCCTATAGAGGCAGACCTCAGACATTTTCTGTATCTCCTGGATGGACAGAGTTTATATTGGAAAATGGGAAAACCAAGAAAGATTAATCCCTCTAATTTCTACAAAATCAGCATTTTTATTCAATATTTCTCCTCCTTTTTAAAATATATTATCATTCTTTTCAGTACAAATGTAATACACCATTGTTTAAATTAATGGGTAGGTGACAGGGTGGGACCTGATGAGCCAATCAATATCAAGAGGTAATGAAGCATCTACAAACAGCTTTGGATGCCATCTCATGACAGTTTCTGGGATTCCAGCACCAGGATCAATGATGATGAGATCAGACTGTACAGTAACTACCACTTGCAGTCTTTTTCATTTGTGACAAGATGGAATAAACCCTCACATTTAGTTGTTAATCTGTTTCCAAGACTGAAAATGGTTTTGAACTTCTAGGTAGCTTAGGAGAGGTTTGCTTCCATATCTCCAGGGACAGTTTATAATGAAAAGCTGGCATAATTCTCTCTGGTAGAGTGAATAATTAAATAAAGGAAACAAATGTTAAGATGCTAAAAACATAGCAAATCTGTAAGAAATTAAGAGAGACAGCTTCTATTCTGTCTTTAATTTGTTCTATTATGCTTAAGTACTGTAGCACATGAATCATGGCATGGTTGTTAAGAGGAGACACTTCAGAGGTTCTGTCTTCCCATCCATTACTAAACAGTTTAATGTACTTGCAGCAAGTCAAAACTACACCACTGGACATGACCCTGAATTATCTGGAACACAAACACTACAATAATCACTCAGGCACATAACTGATACAGACACATAGTCTATCATAGCTGATTACAAATGAATTTTATTGTAATAAACATCTGTGCTAGGAGTTGATTTTGTCTGCCTTTGCAATGACAAACTTTACAGGGAAAAGGCAGAAAAAATGTGCAAACTATTAACTTCTAAGTAATTTTTTTTAGGAGGGAACCATGTCTGACAGTGGTACGTGAATCCACCATTTTTATGTTTTTCAGGGAGTACACAGTGAGTACAAAGGCACCTATTAAACTAAAGTTTAATTTATAATTTCTCCACTAGGAATGACAGATATTAAAAAAACCCCCAAGTTTAATTAAAAAGTTTTAATGGGAGAATTATTTGACTGTACCGTATAGATCCCATCAGGTCAAGATGTGCCTGAAGCAAATTAATTGTGTTTTATTGGCCTAAAAGACTGGTTTCATTAGATCTCATTGCTGTGGTGTCACTGTCCTGTTGCACATATGCACCATCCCCACGTCAAATAATTGCTGTTCCAAACTATGGGCAGTGCATTCACAGTGCAATTCAAAATCCATTTCACAAAAATCTACACAGTAAATGTCAAGGTTGTGCTTCTGAACCTCTTCACATTGGCTTGGAGGTGAGGCAGAAAATAAATTAGTAATTTTTTCTTATAGTAGAAAGGAAGTGTGTTGAAAAAACCCAAGCCCCAGCCACAATCTAATCACTGTATTTTCCTTTTTGAGAACATGGCTAAAGCTCCTCCAGCCTCAGTTCTCCAGAATCCACAGTTATTAGTATTACCAATGTGTAGTTACAGCTCTGTCTTTCACAAAGTTAAGTCCACTTGACCAGTTCTTTTACTCCAGGACAATTTTTAAAAGTAAGTGCGTGTTACTGAAAAAAACCCTAAACACTTTTTCTTGTGTGTTGATTGAGGGAGCTCAGTTGGTTCCCTTTATCTTTGCCTATTATTCAATCCCACAGGTATATTTGAAAGTTCTGCAGTAAATATCAACAATCAGCCATGAAAAATCCAGATCAAATGCCTTTTGAAACTTACAAAGACTGTAAAGATCTTCAGCTGTTTGTCACAGTTTAGGAAAAATACGCTTCAGTGCTGCTACAAACAGCCAGAATGTGTTACTAGAACTGGGCTCCTTCTAAACTGTGTATGATTTCCAAATCAGGTTCAATAAAAAGTAGAGGAAGGGGATGCACTGTAAACCTTCACAGTGTAAAATATTGCAAACTAGTTTGCCAAACAGATTTATGAAGAAATACATCTAGGCTTAACTAGAGACTCAAGCCAATCCTTCCCTGAAGGATTCCATTAGGAAGTGTCTCCCTAGGCACAAAGTAGGTCAGCACCCAGCCCCTCCGAGTCACTGCTCTTCTCCCTCTCCCCTGTGTGTCAGTATCTCTGGAACTTTCTCTACCTCTTCATTCCAGCCTTTGCTAAGCTCACTTACATCTCAGTAATGTCCACCTCGTGTCCCCCCGTGCCACTTTTCCAGAAGAGAAGATGGATGTATTTAGGACACATTAAAAGGGAGGCAGGGCATCTGTTCCAGCAGGTGTCCAGAGCCAGCTGGAGCACGTGGGTACGGCTGCCCACGGCAAGCGCAGCTCAGAGCATATGGAGCACAGCTCTGCAAAGCTGCAGAGCCCCATCCAGAAGAGAAAGGGTTGTTCTTCTTGACTTTCACACAGCAGAAAGGATTCAGAAATTCCTACTTACTGTCTGCTTACTGGCAGCTTCATTGCACATATGTCCTAGCAGAGTAAATGTCATAAAATAAATGCAGACTTCTAGATTAAAGATTCACTTTTCCTGGCTCAGATGCAGAGGCTACATTTCTAAAGGTAAAAGACATTCAATTATTGAGCTAAGTTTGAAATGACAGTATAAAGATGCAAGAAGTGCAATAGAACCAAAGCATCATCCTAAATGGAGCAAGTTACCTCAATATTTTGTCTCCTTTTGATCTAAGCTAGTCACATGATTTTTCCTCTAGATCCCTTACAAAGCCTGGTGAACAGATCTTGTAGCAGCACAACCCATGACATCTTAAAAAGCTTTTAATCTTTACTTTCAAGCCACTTCTCCAGGTTACCATTCTGAATCTCTCTAAACAGCTTAGATCCCTTTCAAATGTTTTAGACAGTTCTACATTCCTGCCATTATTCTCTACTGAATCAACGCTTTCTTTCTCACTAACACACATATTTTTATGAAGATCCACTGTTCAGCTATCACCTCCTTTTCTCTTCCCTACTTTTCTAGAAGGAGATTCATAACAGAAGATACATCCACAACAGCCAAAAGCATTCCTTTTCCTTTATCATCTTGTCATGTGCCTCGTGTTCATTTCTTTGTCCTTCATAACTTTTCACCATACACCCCACGCTGCCACTAGTCACAGTGACAGCCTCTGACATGCCCCAATACTGCCAATGTCAGTGTCACCTTGAGGAAACACATCCTGCTGTACAAGCGTGACAGCTCCAGTAGTAGTCTCCTAAATAAACCCCAGCTGCCATTGCACGTCTTAGTTTAGCCTCTCAGTAGAACAGTAATAGAGAGGTGGGGAAAGCTACTCAACACATGGTTTTCTGAGCAGTGCAGAAAGAATGGTAAAATTTAGAAAAGCCAAAATTAATTTCACTCTGTCAATTTTTCCATTTCAATTCTTAAAATTTTTCAGATTTAGAAAATATGCATGGAGCTAAAGCCTTCACACCTAAGACAACCCTCTTGGGAACACTGCACATAATTTCCAGCGGCACCAATTGCTGCACAAATCAATACCAGTACTCTGCTCCACGTTTGCTGCCTGGGGTCCCACACCTACCTTCAGTGGCAGACGAGCAGGACACGGGGGCACTGCTGGAGCGGACGATGTTCAAGGCAGCAGCCTCGGGGCCACCTGCACGTGGTGAAGGATTCGCAGGCCCAAAACAGGGAGAGGTCAGGAAAGCAGCAGGAGGCTGGTGAAAGTCCACACAGCAGGGTTTCTTCTGCTTCAAAGGCGGCGTGGCACTGCTCTCCTGAGCAGAGCTCTGCAGTTCTCGTTCTGAGGGGCTGTAATTCCCTGAGGAACAGTCCAAGGACCTGCCGTGGGCACAGTTCTTTTCCTGTCCTTGAGACCTGTCTGTAGAGGCTCGGCTGAGGGAGCTGTCCCCCTCATCAGGAAAGCCCTCAGAGCGAGTTCTGTGAAAGCTGCAGTGAGTGTGGCAATCCAGGGCACTGCAGCTCTGGTCTGCAGCCCCCTTGGGGGTTATGCAGTAGGGAGAAAGATCTGCAGATTGGAGAGATCCTTGAACTTCCAGCGAACAAAGATCTTCAGAGGAGTAGCTACGGTCTGGGATATCAACAGCCTCAGAGACCATCAAAGAGGTGCTCTCAACAGAAACTGCAAAACAAGAGATTCCGAGAAAAATAAAAACTTCTTGCCTACCCTCCCAATATTATCCCTCCCCATGTTCTGTAGACTGACTTAAATTGAGCAATCTGCAAGTTCTTTTATCAATAAGAATTCAAAAGGTCTCAGATGAAGAATGGCAAAGCAAAAAACACTGAAGTAATTTACTTCTTTCTAGTGTCCTTCAGCAAAGACATCTTTGTGCTGTTCTCAATACTGACTTTTCAACTTTAAATAAACAGGCCCTGTACTGCTACTTGTCAACATCTGTGCTTCAGGCAGCAAGCTTCCTGTTCAGCTTCCTGGAAGCCATGGAGGAAACTGCTCTTTGGAGAAGAAATGTGAGGAGCCTCAAAGGGCTCAACTAGAGCTTTCTTTGTCTAGCAAAACTCTCCTCTGCACTGTCAGGAAGCCACCCATGGCTGCTGACAATGAAACACAAGCCGCAGGAATGTGCAGGACTCTTCAAAGAGAAATGACAGTTGCCAGATCCACCTCAAAGGGCTCAACTAGAGCTTTCTTTGTCTAGCAAAATTCTCCTCTGCACTTCCAGCCCCAGCCTCTGACTGTGAGAAAGTCCTGCTTGCCATGAATAACCTGAATACAAATGATTCTTTCACCATTAGGAAGGGGAAGGGGAGGAGGAGGAGGACAAGGACAAGGAGGAGAAGGAGAAGGGAAAGTCAGCTCAAAAATCCCACTTCCATCTCTAAGGAGACAAATGCAAAGCCACGATCACCTTGTGTGCTGAAGTCCGGGGTCGCGTTCCTCTCCCCCAGGCTCGATTCAGACACTTGCTGAGCAGCACCAGTGACCTAAATGAACATTTGGGATTAAAGAGCTCATTAACCTGCAACTCACCAAACAAAATGTAGTGCTCAGGATCTGAAGGACGCACCTGACAATGCTGAGTCATTTTCATATGAGCTGCTATTCAGACTGAAAGCTGTTTAAATTATTTTACATCTTTGGGTCAGGAGCAAATGCAGGGCAAAGGCACATGCTCAATGCAATTTTACATTTTTCCAGAATCTGCAAGGTAAATTAATCTTGAATTCACAGGCACTTGGGGCTGCAGGCTCACACTAATAAACTTAATATCTGAGTTTAGTAAAAGCAACCTCTCTTTCTACAATTTTCATTTCTCATATTGTGCTTGTTTTTATGTTCACCACATCATATCACCCTAAAATAGGAGAGAGAAAACCAGAAACCACAAAAACAAGCATAAGAGCAGTATTTTCCTTTAGTTATTTGTGAGGATGTTAGCTGTTAATGTGTTTTGAGGCCCTTCAACAGGTTGCCACCCAGGTGCCCTCCAGCCTGCTCAATGGACACAGTATTACCACTCACCTTTTTTCTGAAGGGGTGGATCTAAGGGGGTAACTTCCCTTCACTTTTGAGAATCATGTGAACAAAATATAGAATCATTCCTGCTGGAAAGACTGGATCCATAAATAACTGAAATTTAGGAAATTTTCTTTCTACTGATTTGATTAGACTTTGGATGGGACCTTGTTGCCAATATTGATAGATTTTTAGCAGTTCTTTGGGAATATGATTATCAAAAAAATTATTCCAATAAATAGCTGGTAACCAAAAAAAAAAGAGAAAAAATACAAAAAAGGTTGAAAGGAATGAAACTGATACCATCTTGAGCAGAAAGCACCATATCTACTTCTGTCTGTAGGGCCACAATTAACTAGTAGAGCTTATTATGGTTGGTGACAGTCTAGAAATCAGCATCAGTCACCTCTGTGCAAACCTTTTTGTCAAGCACTTAATCTGTGTCTGGCTTAAAAAATTGAATGTGACATAATTAGTCTGAAGCTATTAGGGCAAGAGCTTCCATTTCACATGCCAGTGTAGATTAAAGCACATATATTTGTGCATAACTTACTGTGCTCACTGTTTTCTTTCTTTATCTCTCTCTCTCTATGATCCAGTGACCAGAAAACTTCTTTTGATACAAATTTTGGTTTTAAAAATTATTTTAAGGTTTAGCAAATACAACTCCAAGCAAAGAACTATAGAAATACTTTAATTCAGCAAGAGATGGATAGAGGACTGGGAAGCAAAAGTGAAATCGCTCAATATTTTTAAAGAATTCCTCTGGAAATTTCTCAATGGATCTTTCTTGATTGTAGGAGTATCACATCTGTGGTAAAAAGTAAAATGTGGTGTCACTTGAAGTGACACCTGGATCTAACTGTGGAAGTTCTGGGAACTAACTAGAAAAGTAAGAAATGTTCACAAATGCTCTTTGTTGTTATAGAAAATTCAGACTGACTACCTTTTGGAAGAAATAGTATAATGTTTTAAGGGTGTTTGTTTCTTTTTAAAAATCTAGGGATTCTAGGGGCTTTCATAAATTCTTAATCTAGATGCTTTCATAATCACTGACTGGAAAACATCAGCAGAAAATTTGTGCTGAAACATTTACTGACACTCTACATTCTCTGAATAATTGCTGAATGTATTTTCTGTGCATTTGGAATTGATTAACCCTCTTGCTTGAGGGAAGGAGAACCAGGATTTTAATTGCAGCAGGTAACACTGACAATTTTGAAGCCAGGTCAGAGTTTTGGTTCACACAGGAACAGCTGGTTCACACATGGCTCCATGCAGGCTCCTGCACAGCCAAGGGTAACAAAAACTTATTGAATTCCGCATCCTCAGATAGTTACTAAGCCATCAACAGAAAAAAAAAGAAGAAAACCTGTGCTTTTAAGAAGTCTGCAGAGCCTACAGGTTAGAAAACCTTACAAAACACTGTCATTGATTTAGTTCACTCACAATGCTGATCTGTTTGTTCTTATCTTTTCTACATCCCAGTCAATACTTTGCATGGAAAACACTGAAAACCACTTTTTTTTATAGTCATGAAATGGGAATTCCTAATCAGTACAGATGACAACAGCAATTTTTACATGGATGTAACCACTTAAATTAGCAGTGACATTTGTTGCCCATAAAATGCATGAAATACCGAGTCTAATTTGGTACAATTTAATAAAATTCTAAGGACCTCAATCCATTTAAAAACAAATAAAACTTATTGCTTGATGCACAGTAAAAGGTTTTACAATTATGACATTATTACATAATGGTTCCCAGAAGCACTTTTGTAGCTAAATCCCTGACATGATTTCCATTGCCAAGCCTGCCTTTGAGGGATTTATAAATCTCATTATTTCAGTTCCTACTGTACTGTGCTCTATGGGAGCATTTGCAGCATGTAAGGACTCAGGTCTCCATTTTGTTCTTCTTGTAGACCCAAAACTGTCTTAGACAGCTCAGCTGGGACACTAATTGCAAAAAATACATGAAGGCTTTTGTTGTCAAGAAAAATCTGTGGCTGTCACTGTAGGCTTTGGTTATCTCTGCCAGTGAGCTTCAGTGCTGAGACACAGAGCCTGCCACAAGCTCTGAACAGCAACTTCCAAGTTCATATACACTCACTCCTGGTAAGAAACTATATAATTATCACTATTAGAAATGAAATCACCACTCATCTTCACTGGTGATTAGAACAAACACCTCTGGAGCTCAGGTGGCCAGAGGTGAACAGGGAAGGTGCTGAAACTGACTCCAGATGCCAAAAATTAGCAGTGAATGCATCTACTTATTAAAGCCAAGCTCTTCTTGCAAGAGCATGACTTTGCAGCTTCAAGTCACATCTTGTTAAATGATGTTTTTGTTGAGTGCTGGTGCTATTGTGCTGCTGCGTGTTGACACTCACACCAAGAGTGGTACCAGTTACAAGAGTGCTCAAAATGATTTTGTGCTTTACTAAAAATAGAAAACTAATCCTTACTTACTACCACATATGAATTCTTATCACAGATAGGAGCCTCTTCCTTCCCCTCAAACCATGCACGATTCATATCACTTTTGTCCATGTTTTTTATCACTGAGAAATACTGACTTCTCCAAGGCTTGCACGTTCTGCAAGTTCCTTCTAAGGAAAAAGGATGGAACTTGGATTAAAAATATTCTAGAAGAAAATGGCCTTGAAAACTCCAATCTTGCTGTTCATCAAGGAACTTTACTCACAGCAGTTTATACAGATTCATTTTATTTTAGCCATACAAATCAAAAGTAATGCAATGTTTGGCCAGTTTGTTGCGTTGGGTGGAGGATACAGCACAAGGCAAGGATCAGAAGATCTGTCAGAAACTGCTTTGTCAGTCACAAAAGCTAAAAAGACAGGCATACCTTGGGGAGATTTAATAGTATTTTTTTTTGGAGGTTTAGCATTTCAATGTTCTTTTTCTCTCAGACACTCTTCTTATTAATTATCTTAATAATCTTGTGTATAATAGTGAAAATTTGTATCATTTCTTCATGGTTTCGATTCTGGTTTCCCCCAACATGGAAATAAGTCACTAGGAAATATTTCAATGTTTTATTTAGGGAAAGGCAAAGTAGTCCCCTCTGTAATGTGGGTGCAATTTGGCAACCTGCACACAGGTATTTCCTCAGTGTGCTATTAACAACTGATAAGGAATACCCAGAATGTTTGACTCCTGGAGTTTTACTGAAGCCTGAAAGAAATTAGAGCTTCTAAAAGCAATTGTAAGTATTTTCCCTTTGTGACAGCTGATTCAATTACCACAAATCCCTTCAAGGAGATGCTGGAATCAGCTCTGGCTTTACATGCAGATACATTATAATTCAAGTTTCAGCTCAGTCAATACTGCACAGTACAGAAAAAAAACAAAAAGTGTAAGGTAAACATTTGTCTCAAGTACACTGGATCCTTTCTGCAAGTTCAGGGTTCTGCAAGTGCACTCTCAGGAGTAGCAGTTTCTTGCCACATAACAGCAGAAGCTGATGACTGAAAACTGTAACAATCAGAAGGTTAAGCAATAGAGAACTACTCACTGCTGTTGCATAGGAAGTAAAATTTGTTAGCTAAACCCTTACCAAGAAAATGGTCTGGAAAATGTTTTTAAACAATAAAAATATTTTCTAATGATTGTTCTTTAAAGATTATCTAGAATTATTTTGCACCATGAAAATTTGGAGACCACATAAAGAATTTCGTTTGGTTTTTCTCACCTGGCTGACAGGCATCTCCCCAATCACTGCCTCATAAGGAGGGGGCAGCTCACTTGGATACAGCATTCCTGGGCTATTAATGGTTACTTCATATAAAGCACCAAATGGGGAATGAGGGAAGTCCAAATGGAGACTTCTACAAAAAAACAAAAACAAGAAAACAATTAAGAAATGGCATTGATTTATTACCTATACCACACTGATGTAAAGACTTCTCTGAATTCAAAGCAAATAACACTACAAAAAATTACATTCAAGAAATTTATTAGACATCCAAAATGAAGCCCTGTTTCACAGGGTAGCTTTAACAACTGTTTTTTATTTAGGATGCCAGCCACCTTTACCAGCCTGTTTTGCCATCATTAACGTCCTCCACTAGTCCAAATTAATACCCATTGCAGTAATTTCCTTAAAAAAATTAAATCTCACACTCAATTTCAAATGTATAATGTTAACTGTGAAAGGATCACTTACAAAGGGATCTCTGCTCAAAGCCCAGACATTGTTATCCTTGTCTTAGCTAAGTTCAATCACTTCTCTATTCCAGCAATGCTTTAACACAAATATTTCCAGATGTAGCCTAACAAGTCTGCAAAAACCCAAATGCGATCTCTCTGGCAGAGAAGAGCCTAATGTAAGTGAAGGACATTATCTGGCTTTGTATTCTTTGGAAGAGCTCCCTAGCCCACAGCTCAGAACCACGTGCTGACCGCAAGAGCAGGGAGAGAGCATCACCTCTGTGCCTCCGCCACGGGCGTGCAGGTGTATTCCGGTGGGTAGTAGGGAGGGGGGGGGATTGGTGGGATGAACTCATCAAAATCCAAGGTCTGGTGCAGGACAGTTCCATGTGGAGTCATGCAGTCAGGATTGGCAGAATGTGGCCTCTGTGGCAGAAACTGAAAAGGAACAGGTAAAGTTCCTTCAGACGGTAGAAACATCATCACCAATATCATCAGTTTTAATAAAAGGTCAATATTAGCGACCCTGACCAATACCAAATTCATTAATACCCAAGCTGAAATGAAAAAGGCATTTCTGGGAGCATAAGAACACTTGTGATCAGTGAGGAGAGTGAGACAGATTGCCAAAATACAGCACAAGGTTTTACTAAAGACAGAGAGGCCGTGGACCTCCAAGTCAGTCTGTCTTAGGGTGCAGGACACAGACATTGTAAATTTACTGGCTTTCCAAGAAATATTTCTACATTTTATATTGTCTTATTGTAGCCCTACATAATCAGTTCTATTTTAATAACTGATGAAAAATAGATATAACTACTAAAAGAAATATTTGTATGTTTTTGTTTCCAATCTGAACTGCTTTGCACTTACAGAGAAAAAAAAAAAATCCAATACCAACCCCCAAAACAACCCCAAATAAAACTACCTAGAAACAGGCTACCAGGTAGACATTATGTTTTGGATAAAACAACTGGAAATATCCCACCCATTTTTCACTTCCAATGAAGGGGCCGTTTATAGCTATTCTTTATTATTCTTGTAAAAGGAAATATTCTTAATAGCTGTTTGTGGTTTGGTGATACAGACACTGCACAATTAAATGTGGTATAAAGGTTATAAGCACTAGTATGAAAGTAAGAAAAACATTTATTCCATATACACATCTCAAAACCCAAAGAAAAATAATTACACTGCACAATAAAAAGTAATAATACTGAGAACCACATCAACATTTGTGACAGAGACCTCATCAGCTTCCAGCAGAGCAGGGATTTGAAGAAGCCATTCCAATGCCATTGATATCAGGAACACTCAAAAGTGTTCTGGGAAAGCCCTGAACTGGTTCAAGATCAAATATGGACCATCCTGAAGATCCCACAACCCACCCCTGACTCCATCTGGTCCCCATGGATCAACAGAGGGCTACAAGACAATCAAAAACCACTGAATTTTTTCTTCTCCAGGCAAGCTTCTGCTCTCATATCAGTTGTCTTGGATCAGTAGATGACTTGATCTTTAGCTCCTACCTTCTAAAACAAACCTGCTAAGAAACTCTGCTGAAGGCACATTTCTTTTTTAGACTGGAACAAGACAACCTATGTTTTTGTACTGTAGGCTAATTACATTATTGTTTGATTAAATCCATGATAAAGATTTGGGAAGCAGTAAACTAAAAGGGAAAATGTTTATGCTTAGGAGATCCAGCAAATAGAAAATAAATTTACCTTCATTTTTAATATCACAGTTCTGTATTTATCACTTTTTGAAATTTAGCTTGGTGTAGTTGCTGAATTTATATTACCATAGAAATGATACTGGTCTTTTGTGTTTTAAAGCTTGAGTTACATCTTAGTTCTATTAAACTCCCTCTATGTATGTTGTTTCAAAGGTCAGAGCTGTAATAATACAGCACAGCAGAGGGTCAGGAGGACCAGTATCCACTGTTTGTAAAAATGAAGTATTAGCTGCTCGGCTCTCCAGAGCATAACTATTTCCACACATAACTATTAATAAAGAACCTCCTCTGCAGAATGTGCTATTTCCTTACATCCTACAGCCAACCAAGGACTTTCAGCCATTGTGTTCTACTCACGGTACAGCACAGAAACAAAGACATGGCATCAGTTTGATTCACTCTTTGTTATGTGAAATGTCTGATGCTCTTTCACTCCATGTGAGGTGGGACACGGTTATCCCAGGTACTATCAGACATTTCTCTGTTTGGCTTACAGGAAAAAAAAAAACAACAAACCCACAACTTTCTTGCAGTCATTTGGTCTAAACTCATCTGATCTTTCAACAGCCATTTCCCAAAGTGTAACATTACATTAATACCAACCATTGAACTCCAAACTTCTGCTCTAAGCAATCACTGGTCTGCTACCATCTCAAATACATGAAAGAATCTTTTAGGAAAAAGTAAGCAAGACAAACTTCAATAAAATTACCTAAAACCTGTAAATATTTAACATAATGAAGACAAATATTTGAGTATGCTGGGTCATATTTCGTACACTATTTGACTCCACCAAGTTCAGGACTGCCCTCATCTTCCTAAAAGAGTTGATAATTTGGGTCATTTTTACAGTCTGGAAACAAAACTATTTTAATTTACAACTTCCTTGACCTACTCCCAGACTGTTTCCATCCTGCCATAGACCCCAAGCTTTGGTTTGCACCAGAGAACTTGTAGCTCTGTTCCCTCAGTCCTGGAGTTCCCTGGAGCTGGATCCATTCAGCCTCATACTGGGAGTGATACCCTTATCACTGTCTGAACAGGGCAATTAAACACAGGGCACTTTCACAGCAGGTGAACCATCAGCACACACTTTGTGGGACACAACAGAAGGGAGAGGTTTTACACAGGGCAGAAGGGGCTGTGGTTCCAGGAGGAAAAGATCTAATGCTTGGATGCAGCTCGGTTGAACAGCAGAATTATCTGCATCCCTTTCAGGATCCAGCAATACAAACCATGGCAACGAACTGTGACCAACACTTGACAACGAGCAGCAGGATGGACATGGAAATACACATGTTTGGGGGTGTTTATAAACAACAGTTTACCTGTGTGATATCATCCTGCTGGAAGGCACAGAAATTAAAGTGAAAAAGGCTGTAAGAGGGAAACTAGCAGGAAATGAAACAATAGCAAATATAAGGGATTACCAGAAAGAACAGACATCCTTGAGAAAACAACTGAAAGCTAATAAGTGGGAATTAAGTCATATTTTATTCCATACTATGTTGTCTACCGATCTCTGTTAGCCTGCAAAAGCTTATTCATTCTACAGGAAAATGTATTTTAAATATCTTCAAGGGTTAGTCTCAAACAGTGAAGTCTGGCAGGGTTTCAGCAAAGGCTTAATACAAATTTCATAGGTTAAAAAAAGACAGTAATAAAATGCAAAGAGCTGAGAAAGCTGAAGAAACACTGACAAATACTTTCACACAGAAACACACATTTCTGGTATTAGAAGACAGCTGTTATCAAATAATCAGTCTCAAGACACTGATGGCAAATGGGGCAGGCAACAACAAGAACTGCCGAGCAGAAAATGGGGCTGGCTGCTCAGTCACCAGGACAAACAGGATCAAGTTGCACTAAATATCATGTCAAAAACTGCAGCTCACACCACGGAACAACTCACACAGTGGGACTCCCAGCCAGCCTTGGGATTAAACTAATGGCCACTGCAGAAACAATGGATAGAAAATGGTTGCAGACAAAGATAAACAGCATACAGCATCTCTGGTAAATGCTAAATACCCAACTGCATTACAAGCTTAGCAAAAATTTATAGCTATCAACAGATACTTCAAACATATTTACTAGAAGAAAGAGAAAGCCCACAGCTGTGGAAATCCAGACGACTCAACCATTTCTGTTACCCTCCTGGAGCTGTTGGATGCTGGGAGCTTTCAGAAATCTGACAGGCAATGAAATACAGATCTGGAATTCATGCTCTTTTAGGAAACAGCTGACCTTATGTTTGAAGCTTGGCATTCAGACTATTACACTGACACAGACAGGTATTTTCTCATCCTTGGCCTTACGTCAGTGTGTGAAACGTGTCCGATACTGGATGGGCATTACACAGCCCAGCACACGTGCTAAAGGGTGTGGAACACAGAGCACACACTGAGCACAGAACTCAGTGTGTTTTCATGGGGCACATCTGACCTGGACAGAGTGGAACAGCCTGATTTAAACAGCCCTCATAGTGAGGACTACTTTTTTTTTTTTTTTTTTTTAATTTTGTCTGCAGTTAGGAGGCAGGAGTAAAACATGCTCTCTGTCTGGTTGCAGCAGGGTAAACAAGAAAGCTGTAAAATACTATAAACCCACTGATTGGATCGGCACTCAATACAGAAGTTTGCCATGGCAGCATCAGCAAGTTTTTAGGAAGCAGAAAATTAGAAGCACAAATGCTACAATTACTCCACTTCCAAAAGAGGTAAAAGTTTTTGAAAATGCAGTTATGCTCAAGGGTCCATTGCCACAGTACTGAGAATTCCACATAGCCAACAATGGGGCTGGACACCAGCGACCTCCTCTGCCAGCTCACAGCCTGCAGACAGACTCATCAGCTATGCCCGCCCAGTGAAGAATAACACATCTCTCAGTGTTTAATTTTTCCAGGTGAAATAAACACCATTACATAGATATGTGAAAAATTGCAAAACTCATTCTCTTTTTGTCAGACTGAATTTCCAGCTCTTCACTGAAAGGTTGTCTGTAAGTTGGTCACTGAAGTGATCAGAAGGTATTATTCATGTTCTGAATATTTTGAGTACACTGAGGTAAAAGCTGATGGAGGAGACCCCGTTAAGGAACTGAAGAAACAGCAGGAAAGGCCTGTCCATATAATTCTCTATTGAAACAGTTCCTCATGGGATACCGTGTGGTCCATCCTTCTGCCCAAGGCACGTGAGACTAACAGCTCTGCACCAGGATTCCCAGCTGTGGGACCTGCCCACGAAACAGCAGCAGAGACATTCTGTGCTCTGTGCATCCTGCAGCTCTCAGCACCACTGACCCCACGTAAACGCCACTGCTGGGGCCAGAGCTCAGCAATTACAGCTTATCTCAGCCACAAGGGCCATATATCAGTATGTGCCTGGTGCTCTAAGGGAAACTTATCTCAGTTTTTCCTGTATCTGCATGTAATTACCTCTGTCTTCCATATCACATTTATTATATGCACTGTATAACTCCAAAATCAGTCCTTTGGAGACTGCAGAGTTCATTATTCTCATTTCAGTCATTTATAAAAATCTGCTGATTTTTGAGAATGGGAAATAGAAATTTCTAATTGCATATAATTAAATACTGGCATGTTACCCTGAGTGAAAGCTCTGTGCAATACACTCAGGTCTATATTTCTTCTTCAGTTAACTGTCTGCCTGGACAGGTTGCTGTTTTCCTGGAACACTGGAATCGGTATCTGCTGAAGGGAAATGTAGACTCTAATTGTCTACAACAACAGAAGGACCATGGTTGACTCTTCTAATTTGTCCCTGATCTTAAAGGGAAATTATGAGACAGAAGATATCTTGATAAGGAAAACACATTCAGACTTTTCTGCTCATTGTTTCCAGCTGCTGTTCCTACAACCATCACAAGCCTCTGTAGCCTCATGAGCATTGCTCTGTGATATCTTTTTTGAAGTTCTTACTGTTTTTTAGTCTTAAATACTAAATATTCTTATTCTACCAATAAATTGTTTGATGAGGAATGCTACATTTGTTAAAAATGTCAAAAGATTTCCTGACCTAAGGCTTGCATTTATGGTGGGTGTGAGGGGAATATTTACGCAACCATATTTACATTTAGGGTTTTTCTATGGATGTACATCATTCCCAATACATATTTCTCAAGGCACTGTCATCTGGGTTTTACAGTACCTGTAAGTGAACCTTGTGCCCAAAAAAGGATTATTTAGGTTTTGATGTCATTAGATTAAATAAAAAATTATATGAAATAATGTAAGATCAATTCTCATTTAAGTTTCCCTCTGCAGGTTTTTCTTATCATTATTTCACCAGAATATGGGGGTTAAATAATGCCAGCATGATATTACCCTCACACAGAGATGCTTTCTGTGAGGTGTTTGAGTAGAAATATTAACTACAGCCTATTAAGATAATGACATGCTGAATTATCACTAGGACTGATGAAAACAGTAATTAAACATCACAGCTTGCATGTGTCATCATTACCTTATTTTCTTTATAAAATAACAGATGGTTTTAGGTATCACACAACATGAACAGCTACTAACAGTGATGGTGATAAAATCAGAACACAATGATATCAGTGCCAGCACTTCTAGGATAAGAAGTGTATAAACAGATCCGGAGTGGAAGGAGGGCTGGAAGAGGTGTAATTCATGCTTTAGCTCGGCCACAGTGGGTGTAATGCCTTGTATTTCTTACTTTAATCCAGGCAGCTACCTTTTGAAGAAAACTGAGTGCATTTTTGCAGTAGCCATTCATCAGACAAGATGCAAACTGAAACTGCCTCAGGCAACAAATGAAATATCATGGAAGTGACAGTTTGGTTATTAAGAGAGGTTTCTTCACATTACAGAGCCTTGATATGATCTGATTTGATTCACATTTATTTCCTGGAGGGGTGTGTACATAGAAAGAACAATTCTGGGAAGCCCTGTAATGGAGTGCAGCCTTAAACTCTCTAGTGAAACACAACAAATGCCTTTTCAATCTTTAGCTATGGTATCACTTTCTCTTGCAGCTTTAGTACAATTGGTAGGGTTTCTTTGCCTGAGCAAATGCATATACTTAACACAGTGAGAAATTAAAGCGAAATGAAAATTTTGGGGTACTTTCTAAAACAGTCAACTCAAACAAGGAACAATCCAGAAAAAATGTAAAATAAAATATAAAGCAATAAAACCACTTTGAAGCATTTTGCTGTATTTTTTTTCCTTAGCACTTGAAATAAAATATTTGTTGGGTAGGACAGGTTTTAAACCAAAAAACCCCTCTTCAAATTCATTGGAAAATTTAAACTGTGCTTACTACTGGACAGCTTGTGTTTGTGTTTTTAGGATGTTTTTCCTAAAGGTGAGGATGTCAGAAGACAGCAGTTTCCAGTAAAATACATCAGTCTGCCTGTATGAATCAAGACACTTGCTGTATGCAAAAGTCATCAACAAAGCACAAAATCACAGAATCACTGCTGCAGATTTTCTTGAGACTGTTACACCTGCTTTATGTTGCTAAGCAATAAATTGGAATTCTTTGAATTTGCAAAAATTACCATTCCAATGGATTAATTTCTGAGACAAGAACACAGCACAGGAATCACAGAACTGATTGCTCTAATGATAACCTAATGGCATCCAAGGAGGATGTTCCCTATTGCCTCTTCTTGTTACAGGAGAGCCTACAGAGCTCCTGAACACTGCAGAACAGAGTAAAACCATCAGCACAATAATTAAAACCTTTTCAGCTATGAGGAGTGGTAGCTCTTGCTGCTGCTGTCAAACTTCCAGCCTGGTACAACCCAGCTAAGAGAAGATGCAGGCATCAGTGAAAAGTAAAAGGAAAAAGCACAAATCCAGCATTAACAAGCAAGAGAAAATGAAGTTAATCAGATTTCTGGGTGTAGTAGAGCAAAGGGGAACTGCAGATCATGGGACAATGGGCTGAAAGTAGTGAAAGAAAAAGAAATCCTCAGGTGAGAGTTGAGCTGGTCTAAGTCAGCGTAGCCCCAGGGAAGTTACGCTCACTTAGGCCCGGTAGGAATCTGGCTCAGCAACCTGAAAAAAGAAAGGGAAAAACTGATAAACAAGAAAAGACTGGGACTGAGCAGAAATATAGATATATATGTATTTCCCTTCTTCTGGGGAGAAGGAAGAAAATTCTTGTCGATGGAGCTGAAAGGGTGGGAGAACGGACAACTAAGCAGGAAGACAGAAAAGCTGGAAACACAAAGCATAGGAAGCAAAAATAAATAAACATTGAAACCAAGAAATGGCGGCACTGCCAGGTGGGAAAGAAAGAATCTTAAAGACATCCAGAATGAGGTGGCAGAGAGAAAAATTATGTGCTTTTAGGAATTTGACTTCTTATTGAGGTTACTGCTTCTTGCTTATGCCCATCAGAAGCACTTTAATATTGGTCTTGGTTCACTGTTACCTATTTGCTTTTTTCCTCTGACACTGCTAAATACCGTTAAGTGTAGACCAAGATTCTTGGAACATACGCTTCTGGATCACTGCTACCATTTTTCCACTAGACAGACAGATTTTTCGAGGTATGCTAATCTCTTCATCTCCCCATCATCACTGCAAGGTGAAAAAGTTCTTTAGTCAATGGGCATTCTTGGAGTAAACATGGAGGGGAGAGTGTATGAAAAGAAAGAATACCCAGAATATGATAAAGACCCTTTAACATTTAAAATATAAGTGTCATCAGCTGAAGTTATTATTTCTGTTGATTGTTTCCCATCCATACTAGTGTTATTAAATAAGCACTGTTTACAAGCCTCTACAAGCCTGCACAATATGCACACACAGAGCCCTACAGCAAAAATGCATTTATGTACTATTTGCAGTAATTACTTAAACATATGAGCCCAACTTATTATACCCATTACTATGTGAAGCAAACACCAGATCCCAGACTGAAGATATTCATTAACTGGGTTTGAAACCCAGTGACTGGAACACTTGGCTAGAAGGGGCAGCCTTATCTCTGTAATTCATGCATTTAAATCAATACCCATGGCACCCAGTGTATTTCTAATTATTTATTCATTTTTAAAACAACCGTGCCTGCATGGGCAGGCTTTATAACATCTCTGTTTTGTTTAAATGGTTTGCAGCTAACTTGCTGGGCCACTCTTCCATCCATGCAAACTTTTCCAATACCAGAATGCACAAATGGCCAGTATTAGATTTGTGTGTTTTCTCTCCTTTATTAAACAGGACATTTCCTAGGTTAATCAGCAATAGAGCAAGGTTACAAGCAGTGGAGCTGGTCTGAAAAATACAAAGGTTTTTTATTTAATTTTTCATTTTTTTTTACATTGAAAACTTGTGAACCCCAACACTGATTTGGAATAGGAAAGCTGCCTTTGTCCAACCAAAACAAGACAGCATCCTGTGATGCAGCTGACTGTGCAGAAGACTAATGATCCTTTTTGCTCCTGTTCTGAAGGCAAATGCTACTCATTAATCAGCAATAGAGCAAGGTTACAAACAGTGGAGCTGGTCTGAAAAATGCAAAGGTTTTTAATTCAATTTTTAATTTTTTTTTTACCTTGAAACCTTGTGAACCCCAACATTGATTTGGAATAGGAAAGCTGCCTTTGTCCAACCAAAACAAGACAGCATCCTGTGATGCAGCTGACTGTGCAGAAGACTAATGATCCTTTTTGCTCCTATTCTGAAGGCAAATGCTACTCTGAGGCTGAACATGTTTTCCTTATGAAAACAAATTATTGGCGCAGGGCTGTGAAAAGTTCAGTTTTGAGTTTATACTTCTCATACTCCGTAGTTCTCATGCCAATCTAGTAATGAGAACTGGAGTCTTAAAGCTAAGTAATTGCTCTGGGGAATGTGGAAACTGGAGATAATATACAAGTGATGACAGCAAATGTAACGTGCATCTGTAACTGAACCTCATTAATAACCTCGTTAACAAAAAGAACAACTCCCAGTTGCAAAATCCTGATCATACCACTCGACTATAGCGCATAAACATTAAAACACAGCAGCTCCTCATGCTGCATACATCTATGTGCTATGTTTATATAGATGTATGCAGATAAAATACACCCATGTACACACACAGAGACACACAAACAGGCTTAAGTTTATAAGCAAAGAGTAGGTGCAAATGAGTATCCACAGAGAAGGACACTGTGTTATGCTGGACAAACCCTGTGTTGCCACTGAAACGTACTCACCATTTGCAGAAGATCAGAAGAAACCATCTGCATGCAACACATTGCTGTTGCCAAAGCACAGACAATGGTGGAGATGATATTGAGAGCGCACACACTGAACAACAGGTCCTGCGAAGAGACATCAGCAGAATATCATCTCTCATCTCAGGGACACAAAGGACAGGAAATGCTTGAGGAATTTGGTAACAAACACTCTCAACTGCTATCGATGAATAAGGCACGAGTAACTGGGTAGAACTCATTTAGCTTGTAATCTTTTTCAGGTAGCAATCCACAAAGGCAGCAATTACAGAAACAAACATCTTCCCTTTCCCAGTTCTCACAACATATTTGCTATTAGCTATTTCCTCAGAAATACTGATATTCAAATTTTCTTGTTCCCCAAAAAGACAAATTACTATTTCACAGTCAACTCCAAGCTGCAGCTATCACAAGAAAGATACTATGAAAGACACCTCTGATGAAAAACGACATGCAGAAATATTATTGCTTTGAGTAGTTGAAATCTACAACTTAGCGTTGTATGTTAAAAAAATTCTAGTATGAAATAGAGATTTATCCTGTGTCAGAAACTCAATGCATCTGAATTATTTTTATACATGAGAGAAAAGCAGTGATTACATATCCATTCACCTTCTACTGATGAATTGAGTGCCTATGGTCATATTGTTGGTTTTTTTTAAAGAACAAGAAGTTTAAAATAGAACACAGAATATTGGTTTAACAAGTAGAATAAAAGAACAGAAACATTTGAATTAAAATGGAACATTTTTTAAGCAATGGTGTCACTAAAAATAAAGCATTTATCTCTCTTCCAATCATTGGATTTGTATTTACTTTCTCCACAGCCAGTAAAAAGACATGAAAAGAATTTAGTGTGCTGGCAACATTTCAAAACTACTCCAATCCTTGTACAGAAACTGCATGGCTGCTGTGGCTATTGTGTGGCTCAGTTCTCTGAATAGCCAGTAAAAGCATCTGAGAAAAAGCAGCACAGAGAACAGAACAAAATTGCTACAACACCGTGAGTAAAAAACACTCACTGTGTGAAGAACATTCCATAGGATCTAAGTTTAAAAGAGTATTTCATTCACTGCCAGTGTATGAAATAACTTCTATGGTATAAATTGCTTTCTTTTCCCCAACACTTCTGAAACAAATGACAGAAAGGTGTAGATTTACTCCTGCCACTGTAATTGTTTGCTCCTCAAGTGACCTTCATTTGAAGATGGAAATGCCAGCCATGGGAACCAGGCAGACAATAAATGGGCCAACAAGTTTTAGTCATTTAGTAACTTCCACTGAGCCAGATTTGCTCTTGCTGATCTGGTCAGTAGATTTCTGTCTTCTTGGCCAGCCCCTCAGCCAGGGGAATAATGAATCATCAGCATTAACAGCAAAATGCTGGAAGGGCCAATCATGAAGTCACAGAAGGTGATGCAGAGGACTCACTCAAAGTCATGCAGACCCACTTAGAGCATTCAAAGGGAGGTAAACAGGCAAAGTGGTCCCTGGAGACCCAATTAGTTAACAGTGGCAAAAAAGGGAGATCAAGATCCTTCATGTTCTGCTTTCCATATGCAAACCTAGGTAAAGAACACCGAGGCAGAGACAAGATCTAGGATAGAAAATAGGACTATTTCCTAGCAGGAAGAAAGATCATCCATTGCCTACGACAGCCATTTAAATACATAAAACTTAGCCAATCTGAGTGCATAACTTAATACCATTTATGCTTAATAATAAAATCAAAGTTCTAAATTAGGATGCAAAGTGTCTCCAAGACCCTTATACTACTTGACACGTCCCAGGACAGACTTAACTGTGCCTCTAAGTCTCATGACAGATGTTTTTCTCATCTGTTCCTAAAGACCCCACAGCTTCATCCCACTATTCCAGTGTTTATTTTTACCATCAGTGTCCTGGTTATGTCCATCCCACAAATGAAAGCCATGGCTTCTTTTCTTCCATAGCTCTTGAGAACAGGCTGTTACACAGCAGACTTTTATACCTTTGAACTCTATTACCACTCTTGAAGCCTTTTCCACCTTTACTGCATGACATATTAACACCATTTTCTCCAATTCTCAACAGAAATCAACTTTCTAGGCCTCCGATCCTTTTCATTAATCTAATTTGTTTCACCTCACCCGGGCCCACATTTTTCCTTAAATGCACAATCCTAAACTAGGCACAACTGAAGGCCTTGCAAACACTGACTCCAGTGTGAGGATCATTTCTTGTGCCTTGCACTCATCCTTACCCACCCTGGACGTTCCTTGGCACGCTGGGACAGCTGTGCTCTGTTTGTTACCCAGCATTATGCCTTTGATGTAGGGCAGGGATTACTGCCCACAGGAACAGCAGCCTCTTTCCACACACTCCTTTCCAGGCTAAGCACACAATTCCTCTTCCCTACAATCTCTTTGAAGGTGAAGGTACAACTAGAAAATTCCAAATGCAGGGATGCAGAGTTTTTATGTATCTCATAAAGATCAATAAGGAGCGGACATCTAAAACATTGTAAGTCTAAAATTTTAACTTAATTTAAGAGACAGCTATTATGATTAAATTATATATTAATATAAAAATTAAGTTGTAATTAACTTAATTTAGAGACAGTAATAACTAAGCAATGATTGTGGAGGCCTCACCACTACTAGATATTTCTTAAAGCAAGACTGCTTCTTTATTTGTTTTGGCTTTTTTATCCTAAAGTCTGTTTCAACTCAAACAGGAATCATGCCACAACCCACCTTTCTCCTCTGCTCCCCACTCCCCCCACCCTCCCCAAACATTAATCAGCCTCAAGCAATTCACCACGTTCAGGAAATTCACTCCCTGTGCCCTGTAAAAAAATAATTAGGTAATCCATGACACTCATTTATTCAGCTATAGAGAAGAAGTGAGCAGGAACTAAAGCCCTCCATGGCCAAGCACACTGCCAGAAGGACAGGGGAGGTGCTGGCGGACAGCAGCTGGAACAAACAATGACAATTAAGACGTCCTTTAGGAAATGTCTGTGAAAAAACAGTAACCACAACAGGGCCAGCAGTAGCTCCCCACAGCCCCAGCCAGTACATTTATAGGTGTCTAAAGGAGCAGGAAATCTGTACTAAATACAAAATCAGGGAGCTTTAGTAACAGAACTTGAGCTGACACCTACCAGAACACTAATCAGAACACACATGTGGATCTCTAATGGTATGAAATACAATTCTCTGCTCCTCAGAAATGGCTGAAGCAATTTTCTCTTAGATGCTGTCTTTGTCTTTTAAGACAAAACTCTGATTCTTCAGCATGTTTATATGATAATTAATGCTCTGAAATGATAATGTACTAGGGAGAACTTTTTCTACAGGTTACATATACAATTTTCTTCATGCACTAGCTGCAGAGGACACAAATCCCCTTCAGAGTGCAACCAGCTGCCAGAACTGCCTGGAACCATGCCTAGGTCAGTCCAGAGATACACCCACAGGGGCCAGACAGCACTGTGAGTTGTTCCTCTGGGGCCACTTATTTTCCCAAGTAGGTCCCTCACTAAATCTCAAAAGCACAACTAAAATTTAGTCCTGACAGTGAAAAAAAGCTAGATTTCATGGTTGCAGTATTCCATTTGTACTACAGCTTGAACAATTACCAAATTAATGGTGCCAGCACAGGCATAACTGTTTTCCATAATACCAGACATCTTTGACTTGTGCTGTGTTCCCAAAGGATACCTGTGCATTCCCACATGACACCTGTGCATTCTCAAATCTTCATACTATCATTTCCCATATGTCTAACTTAGGGACAGAACAGATATCTTTTCTTTTTCCTAATTCAAGCTATTTTCACTATTACTCTTTTGACACTGTTTTTGTGCTACTGCACCTCAGTTCTTCCTTTATTAGCACAATTAAAACAATACACACATATCAAAATGCATGTTCCATAAATGTGTAGTCCAAAATGCTACAAAACAGATTAAAATAGGAGATGTATTACAAAACCTGAGTATTATTTAAATCTGAATGTTTAAATGCAATATTTTAATATTCTGTATTCAAAAAAAAGTAATTTTAAGATACAATTAATTGAGAATATCATATAAAAAACTCATACTGCAATATGCTCGAAAAGCAATTTATCCTAAAAACTGTTTTTCTTTGTTTTCCATCAAACTGCTGGGTGATAAAGCAGTCAGATGGCATCAAACTGGAATAAGTAAAAAATTGGTTATTGCCACATCGATAACTCAACGGTAGAAACAATCATTTAACAAAGCAATTTAGAACAGCTGTTAGCACATGCAATTACCTGACAGAAGCACAGAGATGAGATAGAATCTAAAATGAAAAATGACAGTGGCACAAATCCCATCAGCCAGTGATGGGCCCACTGGCAGAGCTGGTCCTTTATAACCAATGAACACTCACCGCACGTGTGTTCACCCTCCTGAAATTTTGTCCTTCAGAATGCCATTTGTGCCTCCTATCACAGCAAAACTGGAATAGAATCACCTCACTGTAATGGTGGGCCATCCCCATAGAGCTCCTTCAGCTTAGAAACCAATTTATAAGTGCATTTGTCAGCTGTCTTTCAAAATCATCAAGTAAGCCAGGCTAAAACAGGAACGCCTGGACATCTTCAAAACTCAACTCAAATGCAGACTTTGGTAAGTATTTAGTCACTCTCCTGCTTCTTCCTGTCACAGCAATAAACTGTACTGTAAATTAAGTTACACGCATGAACATCAAAGCAGAGAATTTGTCACTCAGTACAGACCACACCACATAGATGAAGCACAATTACCTCAAAATATTCACTCTGCCAAGTACTGTACAGAAAATTAATCAGCTGTGCTGCTTACATAGAATTGAGAAACTGTATTTAAACCTCTTTTGCTCTAGAAAGACACAAAATACACCCATTTCATTTTATGAGTTCCAGTCTGCTCAACAGTATTGAACTGACAGCTCTCTTTACAACACACTCACATTTTGCTGGCTGAATAGATTATTTTCCTGTGGAAATAAAAGATTTGTAGTCTTTGAGGTTCTTGGCACTTTTGAGACCTTAGCCAATGCAGGATGAAAGCAGCAAAATCAGCTTGCTGATGTGTAGAAGGAACACCCTGTGAGCAGCAGCCCTGAGCACACAGATCTCAGCATCCCCAGCCATCAATGGCTAAAAGCAGCTCCATGGCTGCAATGCTGTGGAGATGATTTCCTTTCTCCTTGATTGACTTCAATTATGGTGCTTCATTTCTTATACTACTGCATCCTGAAAAGAGATAATGAGCAGCAAAGCCTTTTCACCCATGAAATTAGTGTCAATGTACCTCTTTTATTCAAGAATTCAAGGATAACAATTCTTTTAAATCAAAATATAACTTTAGTTGTTCTCACTGGATACGTCTAGAAAAACACTGGGAAAAATATCTGCTCTAATGCAAGAAAGGCTCAAGAATTAATTCTGAGTCAAATGGGTTTCAACCACACATTGCATAGTAAATGGAGAGATGATCAACGCTTCATAAAATAGATTTAAGGTTTGAAAGTACAGTAAAATTCACTATTTTATATTATTTTTAAGAAGCAGTGCCCTGCTACTTAAAAATCTTCTCTGCTTGCACTCAAGTTTGCATACTTTCCAACTCAGGTGTCTGCAGTAAATTTAGTACTGGGGATATGATAGTTAGAGACTCCTGAAAGGCTAAGGTTTCACAACATAACTGAACAAGGATGGAATAAAGAGATTCCAGCCATTCAAAGAGGCACCTTTTCAGCCATGAGAGAAGTTTACAACCACATTCACTCCTTGTCCAAGCTAGGAACAAAAAGAAGTATGAGGAAGGAAAAGTAGCTCAGCTATTCAGATTACAAAGCCCACCCTGACCCACCCTATTTTTGATGGTCTTGGTGTGGTAAATACACTCTGAAGGCAGGGAATATTTTCAGCTGCCTGTAAAAGGAATGTGAAACAAATCCAGCATTGAAAAATCTGATCTGGAATTACTTATTCTGTGCTGAGCTTTATCCAATTTTAAGTAGCTTATGAAGCCTTTCAGGTAAGTCATTCAGTAAAACTATTCATATTGCATTTGGTCCTACAGAGAACCTGAAGAAACTGTTCTCCAAACTCTAAAGAATGTCTAGGAGCTAGCCTCCTCTGTTTTTCAAGTGGAAGCATCTTCTTCTGAATGAAAAAAAAATTAAATATATGAGTAGACTTGGTCATCAGGAAACTCAGCAACAATAAATTCAGGTTCAAAGGAGAGAAAAGGAAAGAAAGTATTCACACAGAAGACTGCAAGAGCCCTGAGCAGCAAAAATCCCTAACAGAGATGCCTAACTAATGAAGGAACCAGAACCTGAAAAAGCCATTTACTATTTATATTGTACTTGAACTTTAGCAGCTCCAAACCAAATATTTATGCTGAAGGCAGAGGGGGGAATCACCTTCTCTCCTTGCCTGATAGTCACAAAAGCATTCTACAGATGCACCTTAAGTAAAGTAGGAACTAATTACATAAATAGCAAATCTGTAAACTCACACACATGTCTGCAGGTATTCTGGACTGTGTAAGCTGTTAAAAATAATTAGAAATATTTAACTGGATCCTTACTAAACCAAAACAGCATAATATTCCCCTCTTGCATGTCAGTATCAGACAGCAAGAATATGTTACAAAATAATTCAAACTTCTAAATACCTAACTTCATCCTCTGAAAATGTTGCATGTATATCCTAAGTAGGTTAAGAATACTCTGAGTTTAGAAAGAAGACAAAATTTCCACAGATGAAAGATGTCAGAAAAATTTAGCCTTTTTACTTTAATTAACATGACAAAAAAACCCCCACATCAATTCCTTAAAATTTCATCCACTTTCTGTGGAAAACAAGATTAAGTTGATGTTATTGAAACTGCATCCTAAATCCATCCCATCTGTGGCCATCATCTCATTTTTGGACACCTGATTCTTAATAAACCTTTTAAACTCTTTTAACTAATTTTGTAAATAGGTAGGATTTGCTTGTGCCTTCATTTGGCTTCAATTAAACCAAGTAACTTCCTAATATGGGATAAAGCTGTTCTAGAAGTGTGGTTACTGTAAAAAAATCAAGATACTAGGACACTGACATCCTTTAGAAGCACAGACTAGTGGCCCTGAGTATCCAGAGGAAAGCAAAGAACCTTGCTTTCAGGGGCAGTTTAGGAGCTACTAATGCAGAAAACTGTAAAAAACCCCCAAGTTTCCTAGTGAAGTACAGAAACCAGGAAGTCTCTCCACTGTAGACCAGGGTAGATGGATCACATTTGGGTGCCTGCAGATCTTAGTGGCAGTTCACCACATCATGAAACTGTGCTATTTTTACTGAGGTGTGCAGACAAGACTACAAGTATGGTATCTTATAAATATAATTCCAACCCTACCAATTCCACACCCTTGAGTGGGCTGAGACCCCAGTGCAACAGTGAAATAGCAGTATTTAACAGTATTTTTGTCCATTTTGCTGTAACATATAATTTTGTGCTGAACTAATCAACTAATCTCAGAAATCAGCACTTATAGATCAGTCAGTTGCAATCAATACTTGTATCTATAAATGTGCATATGTGGGACCATACATACTGCAGTGGTAGCTCCTCTGTCCCCATTAGAAGGTTTGAGTAGTTTATTCAGGGCTTGAATGAAGAAAGGAGGAGGATTGATTTACAAAAAAGCACATAGAGATGGTTCATTGCAGAAACAACAGCAATAAATTTAGAGATTTTTCAAAGCAATTATAAACCCCCGCTCAGCATCATTCAGGGCTCAGTTAACACACCCAGGGCCAGCAGCCACTGCTGGTTTTCCTTGTCCTGTTTGACTGCCTGGGAGCAAGTTCAGACAGTGATATGTGCTGCATTGTTCTGGTCACAGTGGAGCTCCACAGCTGCTACCACCAAAAGCCCACAGGTGACTTGATGGAAACACCAGATTTTTACCCCACCTGCAATAAAAAGGAGCATGAAACCTACACAAGATTGTACATGAAATGCATCATCTTAACTCTGGTTCTCTATATTTTCTCTCCCTCTGGCTCCTCAAACAATGAATACAATTGAGATTTTGGTACTAAAACATCTGTTCCTTTAAAATCGCATTGTAGTTGTTAATTGTAATTAAAAAGGGTGAGCCTTATCACTGTCAGCTGTTACCTAATGAGATGTTAACTTTTTTTCTTATGGGCTTAGTAGAACACTGTTCTTAAATTTACAGCCAGGAATCAGAGCTAAGCCAAACAGAAAGCAAATGTAGAATTAAAACTGAAAAAATGCAAAAAACTTTCCGAAAATGTTACTTTCCTAACTACCCTTTCTTCGATGAAAAGTTCTGAACATAATTAAAATTGCTCTCAGACTATACTCATGGGAACTCCTGTGTTTAAACCCATTTTCTTGTAATGTAAGTTGATATGTCAATTCCCTTTATACATGATTGAGTTATATCTTAGAAGAAATTAATTTTTGTGCTTGCATTCTGATCGCTGTATTGGTTAGAATCCTTGTCTTGATTTTCAGCATATGTCACTTCTACTCCCCTCATATGCTGACAAGGTCCTCCAAAGATAAACAGTTGTTTCCCTCTCATTAAAGTTTACCTTGCTGACATATTTACAGGAAGCAAACATATGCTCCCTCAATCTTTATTTTCATGGGATTAGCAAGTCAGCTTTTCCCGAATGACAGGTCCATGTTTCTGCATCTGTCATACTCTGAGGAATGTCCTTCTCAGAAGTTACCTTCTTGTAATACATTTCACTGGTATTGTTATCTTTTGACAACAATGTCAAGTTATGCTCCTTTTCCACTTACTAAACTCCTGCTACGCAGGAGGTTTTTGCTCTGTTACCTTTATCATCCTCATTAAAACCTGAGACAGAGATCTTACTTCATTTTGGGGCCATATAAAAATATTTTAACTTCTACCTCATCCATATTACTTGGTGGTAGCTTTTTTTTTCTGCTTTTTCTTAACAAGGCTGAAGAACATTTATAGGATTTCTATCCATTCTGAATTTTAAAATATATCTTCAGATATCAATAAAACTTTTATAGCTTTCTCAGGACCCACCTGAGAAAATCTACCTCCCTAAGATCCTTCTCACAATGAATTTCTCTACTTTAATCCATTATTTTCTATTAATTTTATTAAAGTATATACTTTGAAATTGAGAATTACAGATACAGAGTTCTGCTGATCATGCAACTAAACCTAGAATGAATCAATATCTGCCTCTCAGCCTAGGGTTCCTTTTGCTGAGCAGTTCTTTCATTGATTCCTTTTTATTTTTCAAAACAGCACAGCATCAATGCCTTCCAGTTTGGTGATAATGAAGTGAAGCAATGATGGCAGCAATCACACCGAGCTCTAACTCATGTATACAATATTCTTAGTATTTGCTCTCAGTTTTTCATCTGGGTAGCTGTAACACAAAATGCTACAAGATTTGAACTTCTTACAAGGTCGCAGGGCAGTTTGTAAGCAGGTTTCCAGCGTCACCCAGAAAGAACACTCACTCCTCTCTCCCAAAGTGACGTGGCTGCCTCCGTGGCAGCAGCACATCAGGGACTACCTCACCATTCTGCAACACTCTGTGTGTGTTTGCATTCACCACAACATCATAAAACACCACCTCAGAACAGCAAAGTGAAAGATACCTGTTCTTCCACCTTCCAGCATAAACCACAGCCAGTCTGAACCTCTGTTTCTTGAGCAGTCCTTAACCAAGCAGTTACCCACACAAATGCTGATATAGTGATGGAGATGTTTTTTGCATGTTAGGATGGATGAAGAGAGAACAGCAGCTGCTGCTCCCTTCTTCACACACTTTGTCTTGCTAAGTTAGCACTGCAATAAACACTTAATTCTCTCCTAACACACCTTGAGGGTCAGCCTCACTGCATTGCACTCCTGCAGAGGGTTCAGTTTCAGTGTTTCTCCCAGGTTACTGCAGCCTGATGTCTGATGCTGCATTTCACAGCAAACACAGACACCATCACTGTCGAATTTAATCTGTGGAGAAAAGAAAAGGTCAGAAAAAGTATGAATCAACAGAAACACACTTACCAAAAATGGTATTTACAGTTACAGTAATGACTACTAAATGCAAAATGAAATTCTCTGTGCAGAACCTTTGAAGCAGAATGTTTTCCAATGGCTAATATAAGCTATAAAAACAGGTAAAATACAGAAAGAGGATTCAGTGTCAAAAGTGCTACCTTTTATGCCTCTTTTTGAAAAAAATTTGCTTTACAGGGGCAGGTGAAACCAGAGTAACTCAACTGAATAAACATAAAATCATACCCAATGTGGGAAAACCAAAAATAACAGAAAGAGGTCAGAAAATAAGTGAAGGAGTCAAGATCACAAATCAGTCCTTTATTTCCCAAAGTAAAGATGGAAGCACAGTGGCTGGGTGGTGAGATCTGAATCACCCTGTTACTTTTTTTTATTTAAAAAACTCCAAAATTTCCAGACACAAAACCACAAAAAAAATCCTAATGCAAACACACATTTGCTATTTTTAAATCAAATTCTCTCTAGGATGTTGCCAATTTCCTGAACAAAAACAGGTACCAGCATTCCTTGTAGAATTACCTTGCACAGCCTCATACATAGAATAATTTCAACAGAATATTTACTTCTTAGACCACAAAGAATGTTTAAATTGTTCATGTGATCTTAAAAGTTATATGTTTAAATATATGTATTTTTAATGCTACCCCTATCAGGCTTGTGTAGCACTCTGTCCTTACATGCTGGTGACCTGGACAGCAGATGGAAGAGCAAAAATAAGAGGCAATTAAAAGATCCTAATAAGCTTGTCCAGATGAGGTACAGATGACTGAATGCTTGCTTACTGTGATGAAAGCATGCTCAGGGCAGGAGCTATCTCAGGGGACTTCAGCTCCTGAGACTCCAGATTGCCCTCTAGCCAGCACAATTTGTAAAATGCTTTAGAAAAAATTGGGTATGTAAATTACACCATTTCCCATATTCTCCAAGGCAACACAGGAAATAATTGTCTGTGGCAACTCACAGAAACTGGTCATACCTTACGCCAGAGACAAGGAAATAAAGAAAAAACATAGTTTGCTCACCTCTATGATAGTTGGGGGTTTTATTTCTCATTAGCATACAATTTCACTACAAAGCAGCTTGAACAATTTCAGACTAGTTTTTTTCCAATTCCTGTAATATTTCAATACTTTTTTTAAAAAAGGTGAAACAACTAAACAGTTTATGATCAGCTGACCTCAGCTCTTCAAGGCGATGCAAAATCAAAGCACTGTCTGTCACTGGGGAGGTCTTGCTCCCAAAACTCTCTGGAAATGGTTCAGGGGTTGAGAAATGCTGCTGAGGAATTTTGGAACTCACACTTTGAATTTAGAGCTGTGCCAAGGCCAGGGCCCAGAAGGCTACACCTGGCATACCAGTAAAGTATGCTGGTAAAAAGATTTTGCAATGAGGAAAATGGACTTCAGACAAAGCTTTCTACTGCAAGATTATCTATTCTGATTCTCGCTGCCCCAGTTTAATAAAGGACAGGCACTGACTGATGCCATGTATCTGGCATTGCTAATGTGAAATACAGATCCCAGGGCCACCTGTATCACATGTAATGAACAGGTGTCACAAAGATAAGGCTCAAAAGGCTGGGTCAAGATTCCCCATTTATGAGAGACTCTCAATTCATTCTGAAAGTTGTTCCATAACTTTGTACTGCCCAGTAGCTCTTCTTTTAACTTAATCCTTAAAATTAGTTAAAAGCTAATTTTTTATATGGCAGTTCTTGCAAAACACAGGGCCATCTTAAGAACCACAGCATATTCAAAACCACCCAAGATTCACTACCAGATTGGAGAATTTTTATCAGTTTGCCTTGTTGTGCACCTTTTCCTCCCATGTTTTGAGGTGGCCTCTTTGCTGAGCTGTGTCCCTGCAATGGGGAGCAGGACCAAAGGCTGTAGGTGCCACTGCATTGGTGAACTGCATTGGTCACTGCTTTTCAGCAGCTGACAGCACTCCTGAGCCTCCAGAACGCCCCTCCGTGCCCTGCTGCAGTCTCACACTTGTGCAGACAGGATCAAGAGTTCATACAGCTATTCTGTGACCTTAACAGTGCTAAAATTAACTTTTTTTTTTCATCTGGGAAGGAAGGAGGAGAAGTGGATTACTGTTAGCCCAAATCACATCTCAAAGGCCATTCACTGTGTGACTCCATAAACAGAGACAGTAGCACTGACAGTAAATCTGCATTGGTACAGGGAGAAGGGGTTGGGATCACTCCTTCCAGCTGCTGGGCTGGTGTTTGCCAGCCCCAGACACAATTACACCAGCAGTGCCCCCAAAACTGTCTGCGTTTCAATCTCTTTGTGGCTGGCAGAGCTCAAGAATAAAGCATCATTCACTTCATCCCCTGCACATCCCCCCACCATCCTGTGCATATTTGTGTCCCACTTCGTGACTCTTACTCATGCTAGTCAGTACCACAGCAGAGCTTGTGTGCTTTCATATTTGTGACAGTTGCACAGTACACCCTCGTACAAACCATTTTTAAGATTTCAAACATCAGCCAGAGCTGCCTATATGCATAAATTGTCTTGCAAGCTCATTTTGTTTTGTCAAAAAGCACTACTATTACTTCAAAAGTCATAAAACCCATTAAAACCTGACTTTCATACACCACAGAATCAAAAAAGGAAAGGACCTTCCAGATTCATTACAAATACATGCACACACTCTCACAGGTTCTATGTTTTTTTTAAAATCTGTATCAATTAATCAAATTCTGTCAATGCTGCTGGAAAGAAGCTTGTTTGTTTGTTTGGCTGCTACGTGCACACACCCTCTCCCCTAACAGGGCAAATCAGGAGTTAGTTAACACTGCTACTTTGCATTCTACCACCTCCTTAATACAAATGGAAGCCTTCCAGTACAAGTAGTAATAGATTTTACTTCTTCTGAATTAAATTTTAGGGGTTTTTATAGGAAACATTAAAAAGGGAAGGAAAAGTTTTAAAATGCAGTATGAGAGTTCCAAAGTTGATAAGAAGGCAGTGAAGTACAAGAAAGCTCCACTGGTGAACTCAGGGGAAGGAACTTCAGTCAGTTCTAGTACCTTATGCTGAGAGAAAGATGGGAGGATCCAGTAAGGATAAAGTTGCATTGTAGAGAAATATCAAGATTAAAAACTGACAGATTACTAAGAACAAAACAGAGCATATTCTTTTTCCTAGAATTTAAAAAATTGGTTTTTTGATATGCACAGACCTGAGTTTAACTCCAGTGCAAAATGGAATACAAATAAACCTCAGGTCTGGACCTGGGCTCTGCCATTCAGCTCTTTGTGAACCTGTACCTGCTTCACTTTTCCTTGCTTTGTCTATTCCAGCTAAAGATAATGCAGGGGAAAGAAGACTCTTCCTTTATGTGTTACTGCAACCACTGGCCAATTTCAGCTGTACAACCAAAAAAAAAAAAAAAAAAAAAAGCCTTTCAGTAGAGAGATTGACACTACCACTACTTTTCTGAATAATAATCACTTCTAAATTTAATTAAAACTACAGCATTTATTTTTAAATTAATAAGTGACTTACAAGACAGGTAAGCTCTATTAAAAAAATAGATAAAGAAATAAAACGTATTCTGTCTTGTGCAGTAATAGAACATAAATTAAAATATATTAATTGCTCTACCCATATTTTCAAAGGACAATTTTCAGAGAGCCATTATTTGTAAAAGAAATTCCTATACAGAAATGTCTCTCCTATACACATTAATGAACAACTTGAATGTGCAACTTCTCTGTGCTCATCCGACTCTCACTGATTTAAAGCAGTATCTTCAGGTTTTGGCTACAGGATCTGCAGCTAATTATGGGGAAAAAATCCCAATTAATTTTTGGTAACAAGGCGTTAAAGCTACTGCCCTTTTTCCCCCTCAGTGTTGTATGTTGCTAAGCTGCAGGATAAAGGGCACATGTACCAACTTCACAAATTACACATTCAAATTCTAACATATGGCAAGCACATTTCTCATATTCACACAAAAATACATATTATGGAATGTACAATAAATCCCCAGTGTTTAAAGCAAAACAAGACCACTGTGTCTCATTCTTTTTCTTCAAATAACAACACTACATGTGAAACCCTGCTGAATTTAAACTCCATAGTACAGTAGATACTGTTATCACTTCTAAAGCCATGCAATCACCATGAATGAGTTTGACAGAAAGACCAGAATTACAACACAATTTGTTTTTAATTTCACTTTTTTAGTATACTGTGCTTGGAAAATGACTGGTTCAGTTACATGGGATGTTAACTACATTTCAAACCACGTGTCTGCAAAGGCTGGATTTTGACTCCTAGAACTGCATCCCCAGAGAGTACATTTGTATCCTAGGAGGCAAGTAAAGGATTTAGACTTTATAATATACACCAGTCACATAGTGAAGGATTACACAGATCTACAGCACTAAAGAGAGCCATCTAAGGAATTAAAATTAAATATACACTTGGAACAAGCTGTTAAGAAACTGGGATTTTTCCTTTTTGAGTGAAAAAATGGTAATAAAGTAATTAAATATGCTCAGCATAATACATCACCACCTTCTGAGTCAAATCCTATGCTTAATCATAAAGCAGTGCTGTTCTCTACAGTGCATCCCTCCCAGAGGGTGGTCTAAGAGAACAGAACTCTAGAATTCCATATATATGAGCCCTGCAACATGGCAAGGCAATATGTTCATGTGCAAGTCCCCAGCTTGACTGGAATGGGATTTTGAGCAAGGAAAACCTAAAGAGCGAGGTCTGGGTAGAAGAAACTGTTGGGTTTTTGTTGGTGTTTTTTCTAAAACAGTTACAATATCATAAACAGCCACAATGAAATTAACTTGCCCTTAGAGAGTACAACACTGTGGCAAAGCTACATAGCATTTCATCATACTCTGGACATCCAAACTACATTTTAAACACTTATTATTTAAACTCAGACATTTCAGTCATGAGTTGATTTCTGCAGACATCTTCGCAAGCTGACATCAGAAAATATGCTGGAATTCAATGTGTATGTACTTTTTTCCTGAGACAAAAACACAAAGGCTTTAGGTAAATTGTACCTTATCACTTAGAGCATCCCACATCATGACAATCTGTATTGTTCTGTATTTTATTTAACACAAGTAACTTTAAGTTACTTTGGAAATGAAAAACAACTCAGGTTGGCAAACAAAATATTAGCATACACATACCAAAACATTCCTATTGTGAAATCCACTGCCTGGACAAGTATTGGATGGAAGGAATCCTGACCCTGCTGACATCAAATGGTAACCACCACACTGCTCTGATGTGGCCTGAATTCCACCTGTTCTGCTGAAGCATCATTTTTACCAGGACAGTAAAAAGTCAATCCTTATGATATTAAAAGTTACTTTTTGAGGTGGCAAAACATTAAATCCATTAGCACTTTAACTCACATTTTTCCCAAAATGTTTGTTCTAGGTTGTAACACATATAGATCGCTCTACTAAATACCTACTGTTTTAGAAATTAAAGGAATGTGTGTAAAACCCCAACAGATGAAAAACAGAATCCTTGCTCTTGGTAATAAACGTGTTTTCCATCACTCACCAACTGACATCCTTCCAGGGACTTCACCAGCTGAGCATTCTGACAGGAGAGGATGGACCCAGCCAAGTTCAGCATCACACACACTGCAGACAGCAGCATGAAAAAGGTTATCTGGAAAAAACACAAGCACCCTATTATTACTCACTTCAAGAGGCAAACAAGGAAAAAATATAATTTAGATGTTCAAGAACTTCCAGCCTGTCACACAATTACATGGATGGCAACATTTCATGTATTTTAAAGAGCATAGGGTACTTAATCTGACAGTATCCTTGGTCTTGCACTCTAAGTGAAAGCTAAATCAAAACTAGACATGGCTATTATATGTTTTCCTCCAGCCATTTCAAAATAATCCATTTATCTCCCACCTCTATCACGTACTCTGAAAAATTTAATGGGTTTTATTACCAAGCATTACTAAAAAGTAAGATTTGAAAAATGTTTTATTATAAACAGATGTAGTCTCAAAACAATTTAAGTCCTTTTGAGGGGGATATGGGAATCTCAAACAGGAAAAGTATTTGTGAATATCACATATCATGAGTGCCTACAAGGTGGGAGAAAAAGAATGAATAAAATTCCGGGTATATATAAATACCTGGTTTTTAAACAACAATTACAATTTAAGCAGCATCCTCCATATCAGCTACTCATGGTGTTAATTACTCCTTTTTTCTCATCTCAGAATATGTCAAAACAAGCATTAACCTGATTCCATCAGTTTAATTATTGTTTTATTGCTTTAAATGTACAAAAACCTGGTGCAGTCAGGGCAGACAAATCTCAACATATAGGGAACAGCACAAGCAGTAAGAGGCTGAGAACAAATGTGTGCCTGATGTGTGGCCACCTTAAATATTCAGTGCTGACATTGCCATAACTCAACAGGAGCATGAGTGTATTATATGAAATTAGTAAGAAATTCTCTTGCATCTCTTTTCCATGTGCATGCTCACAGCTTACAGCCCCTGACTGTTCTCACAAGATGTTATCTTTTGTCAGTGCATGTGCTAGGCATATTTTTGACAACCTTAAATCCAAAATGGCTGTACATTTTTTTTCTAGTGCTTTTGGACAAAACCCCACAACTCCACAGTATTAACCAAAGGACAGAAGCTGTGTTACAAACATTAGTTGCCATCTTCAGATTCTTCCAAGCATCACGGCTGACAACAAGGGCTGTAACATACACCAGGTTTATCTATTTTTTGCAGTACTTGCTCCATATCAGCATTCATTAATGAAGAAACCTCTATTGGTGTTTCCAAGGTAACCTCTTCCTCTTGTCACTGGCAAAGACAAGTGGGACATGAAACAGGCTCTTAGAATTCCTGTTCATCTCGGTGGGTCTAAGTCTCACATTCCATTTAGGAGCTGCATTTCCAAGTGGCAGCCACCACATGAGATCAAATACTGAGGTTCTCTGTCACACTTGTCTTCCCAATTTTGCTGTTGTACGCCTCACTTCTTAATGTGCCAGGCAAGGAACTACCTAATCTGGACATGGAGCTAAAGGGGGAGATTCATGTCCTCTGCAAGTCGTTTGAAACTACCTTGCCTCTTGCAGAGCACAAAGATCCTAATAAAAGGAACTGAAAAATTTCCAATCTCTTTCCTTAATGCTTCTCAGCTAAATACAGAAAAAAAGCCTTCTACTGATGGAGTGGGACACATCTGGTACTCTGTTATCACAACTTCAGAGGTAAAGTTTGCCACCATGCTGGAAGCCACAACAGAGAGAAGGAGGCACAAAAGTACCAATTACCACATTTACAGACATTAAAAAACATGTTCAGTGTGCTTCATTTTTTTATCACAAATGTCTTTTCTAACACTGGCACAGGTGCAGCAGTAAAAATAAACACATCTGCAACCCTTTGAAAGAGTGGCCATTGTGGATTTTGATGGAGACCCAACATTAGGCTACGAAACACTGTAGATTAAGTTAGATATACATTATTTACAAAGTCAAGGATGGCTAATTTCCAAGCTAAAATTTTCCTCAGAAAGAGAGTTACCAAACAATATATTTGGTCTGAGAGCTCAGTGTGACATACTGAAGAAGGAAAGAGTACTAAACACAGTCAACCCAATGATCAAGGGCAGAAACTTACACTGAAGTGAATACAGAATGCTCAGATATTGAAGGCTATGACATCTAAATGCTGATTTAAAATACAGCATTATGTTCTTCACCTTTCTAGTTACAACATATAAACAAGACAACATATTCCTAGAAATCAGCAAGAAGCATTAATGCCACACAGCTCCAAAAGTCACCAAGAACTAATACATGAACAAAAAGCAAAGCCCATGGATTTATTATGACTTGCTGGTAGCAGAACTAATTGGAGAAGTCAATGCTTATATTTTATACAAAGGACTCTGTGGAAGAAATGTTAATAGGACTTCCTATGTAAATGTTACCATGGTCCTAAACAAATTCTACAAAACTAAACTGTTTGGATGCAATGATTTAAAATTATATAACAACTCACTATGTGGGATGTCATCTTGCACATGGACCCACACAAGGCTCCCCTTTTTACTCCATTTCTGGGATCAACCTCAAGTATGAATATGCAGAGCGTATCAAGAGTGAGTCTGCATCTTTGCAGTCCCAACAGACCACACCACACACATCTGCACAGAATGAAAATATCAGCACCCTCCATGCCTTGCAAGGGAGAGGCCAGAAAAAGTGCCCTTCCATACTGAAAGAAAAGAAATCAAAAAAACTTAAGCACTAACAGGTTATATTATCTTTCCATTATAAAGGAAGTTGCTTGTAGTTCTGTCTTGAGTATAACTTGACCTTTTAGAAAATGACTAGTATTCTCAGATTATTTGTGAACATTTTTTCCTTCCACATTTCTTAAATGTAGATACAACTATACACCTGCCTTCAGAATGTCCCAAAGCAAATCATCTTAATTTTATGGATACCACCAAAAAAATCAAAGGGATTTACAGAAGCTGATATATTCTCTGCCCTCTGTTCTTTTTCATCACTTTCAATTTTGCCTCTTAATATTTCTCTTTTCTTCGCAACTGGCCTCAAGTAATTTATTCTCTTTTGTTTTTTCCATAAGCTTTAGACTTCCTTTCATCTTTTTTTCCCAAAGGCACTGTTGAAACTGTATCACCTGAAAACCCAAAAACTTTAATCCTTGAGATAGCTGGCACAAAGCACCTTCTTGCCCTTACTGTGTCTTTCACAATTTGTTCTTGAATTGATAGGAGGCAAAAAGGGGAAAAACAAAACCACCAACTTTAGCACGCACTGCAGTTTGTGACCTGCAACATAAGACATTAACAATTTAGATTTTCTGTCCATATACAGCTTTCTACCAAAAAATGCGGTGAGAGCAGCTCTGAGGAGGAGGACTTGGGGGTGTTGGTGGGTGAGAAGCACAGCACGACCTGACAATGTGTGTTTGCAGCCCAGAAAGCCAACTCTGTCCTGGGCTGCACCCCGAGCAGCGTGGCCAGGAGCTGAGGGAGGATCCCCCATCCCTGGAAGTTGTCAAGGCCAGGCTGGATGGAACTCTGAGCAATCTGGTCTAGGGGAAGCTGTCCCTGCCCATGGCAGGGGGTGGAACAAGGTGACCTCTCTCCCAACACAACCCAACCCATTCTATGAGTCTATGACTTTCACAAATTTATATTAAACCCTGTTTTGCCAATACTTTTGATGGGGATTCTTTAAGTGACCCAAACCACCCACTCACTACTGCATACATACACACCAAGAGCACAGTAAAAAGGAGCAGCACACATTACATTTTGAAGAAATACTTGCTACTACAAGCAGGAAGAAGTTTCTACACGCAAAATAATTAAAGTCCTCCAAAAGAGATGTAAATATTGCATCACATGAAACCTTATTTCTAAAAGCAACATTTTATTTCATTCCTCACACTTTCATTTTGGAGATATATATGAAACAGGATTGCTTCTTCATTGCTGGCATTTCAATCACTGCTTCCCCTGGTGGTTTGCAGTGGTTTGATAGTCAAGACATGAACACTGAGACAAAATGTTACCCTCTGTGCTGATGAAGCATATTACTCAACTCCCCTGTGCAGGGTACTTTGAATAAAACCTTGCGTTGCAATGACAGGCTGCCTTCTGTAAATCTGCCAATCCTCTGCACCTGTAATACTGTGCCTGCTTGTATTTCCTGTTAATTCCTGTCCTGCAGGTCAGAAAATCTCCTTGAATGAACTTTGGTTGACACTGAAATCATTTGCAGAAAGCAATTTTTTTGAGACACTGTAGTTTGATATGAGGTACTACAGGTTTCTTTCCAATCACTTTAAATATGTGTGGGTATATTCAATGAGATTTAAAATACATTCCTTTTAACACACACATTTCTTATTTGTGAAACAGCAAGAATAGCCAGAGGTAAATACGCTTGTCTCTATAAACCACTGTATAAGTAGATTAAAAACTTGCCCCAAGGTATTTTGCTCACAGAACTTTGTCTTACATGAACTGCAGACAGTAACATTGTTATTTGTGCTGCAGAATTTATAGTTTCCCTGACAGAGGTCTAGAAGGTTAAACACCAGAAGCAAACCTGAAAATTTATCACCACCAAGAGCTATGAAGCAGTGAGATCAGCAACAGTGCCAGGACTAATGCAAGATTATCTGGGGTACAGCCAGAAGCCACCTGTTGGACCAGCCAGATGCTGAATGCTCATTATATATTATAGGTTTAAATACATAAAACATATTATTTTTAAATGAGCCCATTTTAAACCCTTACTAAACAGAAATGGCACTCAAATCAACACTCTTGACTCATGGTTTGCAAGTGTACAAGAAACAACAAAATTTATCTTCCCATTATTTGCCTCATAATAGATTTCTTTCTCATGATTTCTCAATGCTTGCCAAGAAGAGACAGGATGAAAAGTGTTGGCATTTCAGATCTGTTTAATTCAGTATTCCCTATTTTTTGCCTAAATGAAAATAAAGCTTTGAACAAAAATATTTTCTCTAAGTCTAAAGCAACATTCTACATTAAATAGACAGAAATATTTCCTGTAGTGTGGCACAGCATCAGGCTAGAGATTTTAATGCTTTTATATTAGGAACCAT